AAAAAAAAACAGTCAGATTTTTGAAGATCATAATCCACTGGGACTGAAAGAGGGAGGGTGAGAAAGAGGGCTTAGTGTTGCAAAATGAGGAAGGACAGCACCTTCACGCTGTTGGAGTCGCAAACATTCTTCTCGCATGAATATTGTTTATTTAACTGTTGATTTATTTTTTTTCTTGTCCATCTATCAAAAGTATGGATGATTTCGCATAAAAGTTGTAGTAAGGATAAATAAATAATGGAACAGATATTGCGTATGCAGCTCACTTTGAAAAATTGAAGGAACTGCGCTCAACGATTCACCGATCGGTCTGGCTGCTTACATATTAGAGAAGTTTTCCACGTGGACCAATGTAAATAACAGAGCCCTACCTGATGGGGGCTTGACAAAGTGAGTAACCGGTAATTATTCTATTTTTATTGGCTAAATTCAAAAGTTGTCGTCAAAATTGGAATACTAAAAATCTTCTTTTATGGTACAGGGGAATCATTAAGATCTTCAAACTGATTTACCCCTTCTGGGAGACGTTCGTAAGCATTTTTAGCAAATAAAATTACTCAAAGATCTAGAAGACCTGAAAGCTAATGTTTCGGTCTCTCATGAGACTTGGCTGTGGTATGGTATGATTTGGTCTGAGATGATTTTGGTCTGGTTTTCCTACCGGATTCGATTTATCCACCATATTCTTGGTAACCCTGCCACATGGCTCTTAACCATGTCTGTTCATAAACCGTTTCTTTTTTCTGCCTTGTTTCCAAATGAAAATTCGACAAATTCCGCAAGGAAGATCAACTGAAATTTTCAGGAAGTTCTCTCGTGATGAACTTTTGACGATAGTGATGATTTACTGGTTGAATGGAAATATTGTCTCATCGCAACGATTCTACCGAGAGTTTTTCCTGGATGATCGAAATCGAGCATTACAGAAGTAAGTGGACGTGACGGTTTCTCACATTCTTTTGTATAACAATAAAATGTTCCTAGAAAGGTCCCATGCGACCTCCCTTCTGCCCAACTTTCTCGGTACTAATACATTGATAGGAATAGATTGAGTGGGCGGGGGTCCGTAGATTGGAGTAAAGGAGTTGTTTGACTGGGTAGGCTACTGATAACTATATGTTTGTCAGCATCTGAACGGGAACTAGCTTATGGTACCTCTTGACTCAGCATAAGTGGGGCGAATTCTGAGGGCATTACGAGAATCGGTCTCGCTGGCTGGACTGAGCAAGATCTGCTGCCTTCTAAGATCTAATCCCGATCCGTTTAGGCAATATTTGGCTGTTCCAACCGCACACCTGTCCGCAATGAATGAGTTCTTCGACAGGACGCCACCTGAGGTAACCTTGAGTTTTTTCTGCTCACTGAATATTGTTGACCATAGCACAAAAGTTATACAAGTCACAAATACATCGATATCTGTTCAGGATCTTTGTGTCTGAGCGAAGTAAATATGTAGACGACGATGTCAGGTGTTATGTGCATAATTTTCAGATTTCATCGGTGTTGTACAACCTCACTCACTACACTGAAGTGGCTGACGTCGGACATTTTGCTGCCTTTGAAATGCCTCGTCCTGTTGCCGTTGATATATTCGATTTTGTTAAGAAACTGGAAAGTTAGGAGTTTGAATGACATTGGAGTGTGGTGCCTTGTCAAAAGAGTTCTTGACTGCCCCAGTATAAGTTTATTCTACTTAATTGTATTTATTTTTACTTACGCTGTTGTTTATGTAAAATTAAAAATGTTAACAATATACTATGGTCTGTGACGTATGTAGTCATGAAGGTTTGTTCTATGGCTACTTTCATAGTCCGACGGCCGGGGCGTGGCTTGGCACTTGTTTACAACCAAATCTTGTTCGATGGCTGAGTAGTCCCTGCCGCGCGCTCTCGCGCTCGCGGGCCGGCCGGCGGACTATGAAAGCGACCTATGGTAGAAAATCGGTCCGCTCATAACTCGCAGGAAATCTTTGCCAGCTGTCTCGTCTGTTAGTTAGTTGACCCACGATGGAGACGTACCATTCAAAACTTCCTTAGGTCTTCCGGAACTTTCACCGATATTTTCTTGATAGTATTTTGTTTTCGAAAAGGAAGCGCCAAGGAATCAAAAATCTGGAAGTTGCGCCGACATAAGTTCTAAAGTTGAGGTTCGGACGAGGTTGTCGGTGCTCGTTAGTACCGTGAACCTATACACTATTCTCACTTATTGTTGGCAAAATCACGATAGTGCTCAAGCACATGACTCACTTAGAAAGGTTGTAGTGATTTTCTTGTGGATCCTCGATATTCACGTACCCCTAAATTTTTTGGTCCCCAAATTCATGAGCCGAGATGGCGCAGTGGATAGATGCGTCACTGTTGAGTGAAGTTTCCAGATAGATCGGATCAAGCCCAGTCATCTCCAATCGACCGTTGCGCCCCTCCACGATAGTCTTCAGTATAAAGTGAGTATCCAACAGTGGGGAGGAGGGTAAGCGCCGATTCAAACATGGGATTGCTAATAGCCTAGGCCAGTTTCACTCTGAATATTATCTGATCGTTGGTAACTTGAGTAAGACACTTGTTTAAATTATCCAAATAATGCCTGTATATTTTCACTTTTTGTGACAATTTTGTTTTCTCTAAGCAATAAACCTTATAAACTTGAAATTTTATGGAACCCACTTAACATTATTTAGGTAGCCGTTTATTGATTTATTTGGAACAATAACTCTGTCTGCTGTATCAATAAATCTTTTTTTGCCACCTATGGAGAGGGACTTCAATCAATAACTGAAATTGAGTCACACCTGTATAGAGTCGACTGAGTAAATAGAGATTTGCCAGTAAATCCGTGATTAACTCCCATGTCAGATCTGGGGCCCTTCCTACTTGCATACTTTATTTCGATACCTAACAAAATCAAGGGAATCAGGAATCCTCTAGAGTTTGAACGATGCATTGCAAGGCCCACGTTGTTTTTAGAGAAGCCTATGCCAACTGTTGGGCACTACTGTGTAATACTACGTGCTTTTACAGATGACTGCCCTAAGAATTCTAGAATTTTCCAAGCAGTGTGTTGTTACAAATGTTGGCTGCTCTATGATCTTGCTGGACACATTCACCAAAGTCAAGTTGCAAATCTCTTCACCCCTTTTTGGAGCCATTTTTATGGCCCAGCCTTTTTTCAAACCTCAGAGTGGTTAGGGTGA